TATTTATATATATATATGTTTAGTGAAAGAGATGTTTCGAAACATTTTTGTTTCAACATTATGCCGAGTAGCATTTGAACAAAAGACGCCTTGTCATTGAGCACAGTTCAAAGATATTTTGATACCTCTGTTTCTTATAGCTAAAGAAATATAATGTAATTTCATGATAGGTGATATGTATTTATGCACACAAAATGCAGATTTCTGTGGAGTAAAGAGATATCATATGTGGATTCTACATGAATGTATGATGAACTTATACTTTACTAAATATCAGAACATATTAAGAATGATGAATACATTATCATTGATTTTCGTAAAGATTATATTTTTGAGAAATAACAAAGTTGTAAAATGCTCAAATCAACAGACTAAATGGTGTATCAGTTACTTATCTTTTATTGCACTCGTATTATTATAACTTAATATTTTACAGAAAAAATATTTGATTTCATGACTGTTTGTATAACATTAACACAGCCACATCTGTTACTGTTACAACTAAAAATAGCAGCGCTGCTTTTACCAAGCTAGAACTTTTTTCCTTTTTTCTTCTCTTTAAAAAAACAACTGAAATGTAATTTCCATAATTTATTGTACCGATCTGAAACTATCAGAAAAGATCTTACCTCTTCCGCCATTGTGAATCTGTGAACGAGAAAAAGAAACAATTTTAATTGGAGCGCCATTAGGGAATCAAACGAAGTCAAATGCGGTTTCAGCGAAAAGCAAAAACAAAACAAAACAAAGCAAAACAAACAAGAATCTAAAAAACAACAACAACCCAGACAAACATCTCCTCCAAAAACAAACAAACATACAACAAAAACACCCAACAACAACCCCACAACAATTCCCTTTCCTTCTGGAATGGTTCATCAGTTCTACACGAATAATACGCTTCACTGAGCCTCCAACAAAATGTGTTTTCATTCGATGTAATGTGGGAGAGCTTGAAAGTAACAACACTGATATCAGCAACAGAAGAGAATAACTCAAGTTCATCTTTAGGATAAATGGAAAAGCAATTGTGTATAAGGGCATCAATAGTATACGAAGCCCAAAGGTTTTGGAAGTCTTTCGCATTACGTATAAATGTATTTCTTTTTGGAACTGGGGCCGTTTAAAAAAAGTTGAAAATATTCGCATGTGTGATTTAACCTTGGGGAAAGGTTGAACTATTGCTCCAACCTCCCCCCCCCCCTTTCATCTTTTTCCACAAACATTTTTGCTTTGTCGTGTCCTTGATCATTATGTGAGATTACGTGAATGTAATGTGAAGGAAGAGTGAAAATGTGCATCCATCAGCAATGTTCACGGTGACGGGAGCAGCATAAGCTCATCACCATGGTAACGAGCAGACAAGAGGTGGGTGCAAGAATCCTCCTCGGCGATGTTCAGGGCACCGTTCCAAAAAGCTGTACCCTAGCGTCAAGACATTACCGGGACGAGGCAGGAGGAACGAGGCGCGTGCGAGTGTGTGAGTGTGTTATGTGTGTGTGTGG